TTGGATGCTGAGTTTTCAGCGGCCTGATGTAAGGCATGATGCTGATCCGAACTGTCGAACTTCCCATTGTTGCGCACCGAGGAAAAGAAGCATGTGCTGCAGTTTTCGTGAAGCCACCTTTGTTTTGATGTCACTCATTTGTTTTTCAACTGTTTATGTTGGTTTGGTTTTTGCGCGAGATTTTACGCAATGTAATGAGGAGGTATTGACATCTGGGCGGCGATAGCGCAAATTTAAGCAATCTGTCAACTTGTTGATAGAGCCTTAAATTTGTAAGCGATAGAAAAGTTCATGCAGAACTTTTAGCCCAGATGTCTATCTCTTTATCTTCGCGAAATGCGAAATTCTCCTTTGCAAAAACCAATTTGCCATTTTGCGTAAAACCTTCTTGTTCTTGCACTTGAACAGTTCAACAACCTGAAGCGTTTATTTGTGTGTTAGTTTCCTGTGCGTCTTCTTACCACTGTTGTTTATGTTTTTGCAATGCTGCATGTCTTTTTGTGTTTTGGATGTAACAGTTGCCGTGCAATGAGTTGAACCTTCGGTTTCAAGTGCATTTCCGTTTCAAGAGATTTGAAGTTCCCACCCGTTTGCACTCCCACCCTTGTTTTACCTTTTGCTGATCATACAGTATCTTTGGCCACAGCTTGCACCTTCGCATTCCCGGTGTCTCGCTCCGATGTCACCTGAGTTCATAGTAAATTTTACTGCCGCAGTGTCGATCGCCTTGGCCTTCCTTGAACCAACTCATTTCAATCTGGTCACCGCTCAAACAATGCAAGAGCAGCGCATCGAGCAATTCGACAGAATTATTGTTGGGTGCCGTATGTTGTTGGAAACGTGCGGGCGCACCAAGTTCCTTTCCTCGATATTCAGCCTCTGGTCGCAGACCAGTCAGTCATTGTACCTTTTGGAACGAACATTATGGCCGGGGCAACCGGCCGAGACGCCTTTGCATCTCAACCTGCCTGCGGAAGGGCGGCCTCTCACCGAGATTCTCCTGGACAACTTCGATCCCTATGTGGACAGCATTTTCAATGCGATCCCTGCGCTTGACTCCTTTACAACTTGGTTCACACAGAACTATGATACGGCGCTGCACGCCGAATTTCATGAGGTTTTGCTTGATTCGATGCTGCTGTTTCGCAGCGCTGAGTTCATCCTCCGGATGAAGCGCCGTTTTCGCGCTCTCAGCCCGCAGGAACCACTCCAGGACCCCATTGCTGCTGATGAACCTGCTCTGGCTGCACTTCCGGCTGCCGACATTCCTGCTGCTGCTGAACCCGCAGCCACGAATCCTACAACGGCATCGAGCTCCACTGGCACTACACTGGAATTCTACTGAAAGCACGGGGTGATATGGTGCGAATGTTTTTGAATGGAGCATGCCGCTCTGGGATGGAATGACGGATGCCAATGGTTTTCATTTTCTTTTTGCACTGGAACTCCTATGCCAGGAGGGTCATGGGTGTGCTTGGATGCTGAGTTTTCAGCGGCCTGATGTAAGGCATGATGCTGATCCGAACTGTCGAACTTCCCATTGTTGCGCACCGAGGAAAAGAAGCATGTGCTGCAGTTTTCGTGAAGCCACCTTTGTTTTGATGTCACTCATTTGTTTTTCAACTGTTTATGTTGGTTTGGTTTTTGCGCGAGATTTTACGCAATGTAATGAGGAGGTATTGACATCTGGGCGGCGATAGCGCAAATTTAACACTATGTAGCCCTTCGGCTAAGGGCATCCTCATGTAGTTACCTGTCGAGCTTGGGCGATATGTGCTGAAGTCTAGATGGATTACAGCTTATACGTATGGAATGGAGTTCATCTCAAAAGGGGATGTGAAATTTTCCGCTTGTATGTGAGATGAATCCATTGGATATTTTCGGCATTGGAGGAAGTGAATTTGTTTTTCACCTTGATGGTGAGATCAACCGTGATGGTTGACATCGTCTTTGCATGGTTCATATACTGCACATTTTATTGGAGATGACGAAACCCAACAACGATATATTTTTCGTCTTCTTTGAGTACTGTGATTGCATGGAGAACACAGTGAGGATTTGAATTCGTAGAGTGACATGGAAAATCAACATATTTTCCATATCTTTCACTTTAGTTTTCGTCGACGAAGTGCACGAAGGAATCGGAAGAAGATCGTAGAATTCATTTTTGGGACTTCGGAAGAAGGAACTTTGTTTGACATTGATCGGAGAAATTTAGTTTTTTTGTCTCTCAATGATGATGGCGAGCAACGATCTGAAAGGCATAGAACATGTTTTGGTGCTTGAAATGTTTCAACGTTTTTCAAACACTCAAACTTATTTAAACAAACAAACCATGTCTTGATGTAAAGACTTTTTGTGACGACATGTGTTTTTGATCGCTTTTGTGAAGTTGACAGAAAGATGTCAACTGGCGACTCCCCATCTGTTTTGTGTCAAGGAGTGACACACCAACAAGAGCCATAGCGACATGAGCAGAGACATCTCCTTTTGTTGCTTGTGTGTGTGGTAAAAGTGGCTGAGCCCTGGGATTGATTGACTTGGTTGCGTGGACGGTCTTTTGGTTTGTTAAGGACGACGTCCTGGACTCTGACCCAAGTAGGTCTAGAGGTTTCGAAGGTCTGTTTACCTTCCGCAATGTTTCCCAACAGTTGTCTTCCAGCCAAGTCGTCCCAACTTACAAGTTGACAAGATGCAAAACGCAGTCTGTCCGACCAAAACATCAATAGGAATGACTCCAGTACGCTTATCCCTTTTGGGGTCAACTACCTGGATTTCCAAAAGAACCTTGCAGAAACCCTCCATTGCTACATCACTGCCATTGGCAGCCTGCATTGGATTGGCAAAACTTTGAACTTCGGTGTGTTGAAAATGTTGTAAGGCCTCCTTAGTGATCACATTCACTGAAGCCCCACTGTCCAACAACCAAAAACCAGAGTCAACACTAGCCTTTTTGATAGACAGTAAAACTGAAAGATGATCCCGATGATGCGCCTTCTCGGAATCACCATCTTGGTTATGCATAAAAACTGAAGTCACTAAGAACCAATTGCAGTCATAGAGCTTCTTAATTTCCCAGGACTGATCGACTAAGGGCGCAGTTTTGTTGATTGGGCTCATGAATTCTTTGGATTCCTTAGCCACCCCGGGTAAAAATGGGCTCAAAACAGAACTCAAAACCAGGACCGACTCTTCTGCTGGAGCCGCAGGCTCAGCAGACTCCTCAGCGGTCTCTTCAAAAGATTCACCCTCAGTGGCCTCAGCGTACCACCAAGTTCCAGAGTCGTCGCAAACTGCAAACATCATCCCTTTCTTTCCTTTGGAGCCTCCCTTTCCTTTCGGCTTCTGTTACCGACGTTGCGGAACTGACCAGCTGATCACCCTGCCTGTTTTGTGTTGTTGTTTGTGGTTGTTTGTTTGTTTTGTGTTTGCGTTGTTTTTGGTTGGTTTTTTGTTTCGTCGCTTTGTTTTGTTTGCGTTTTTTCTGTTGGCATCGTGACAGCTAATAGGACTTTGTACTGGTCCTGCTTCAGTTCACTTTTGAAGGCCACCTTCGTGAAGAGGGATGACGTCTTTGCATTAGTTCATCGAATTTGTAAATATGCAACTAGTTACCGGCATGATGAACGACCTGGCGAAAGCTATGAGGCGTTGGACGGAAAAAAAAAATCCTTTCGGCTTCTGATTGCTGTTGCTGGGTCCTTTCCCAGGTGAGATACCCTTACTCCCCTTACCTTGATAAGTGGGTTTCCCATCAGAAGTGGGTGCTACTTTAATGTGGCCGACTCCGCCGCACTTGTAGCACCTCACCTTGGCAAGGTCAGTAGGATAGGATGTCAGAATAGATGCCAGATAGACTGCCAGAATGAATGGCCTGAAGATATGCCAGGTAGAATGCCAGTATATGTGCCAGTATATGTGCCAGAAAGACTGTCAGAATATATGAGATGGAATGCCCGAAAAAATGTCAGCACAGATGCGAGAAAGTATGTCAGGATGGATGCCAGATGGAATCCCACAATGAATGCCAGATAGAATGTCAGAATGAATGCCAGATAGAATGTCAGAGTATCTGCCAGACAGAATGTCAGATAGAATGTCACAATATATACACACATATATATATATATATACACATATATATATAATCATATATATATATATATAATCATATATATATATATATATACGCCACATATACTTCCAGATGTTATGTCAGAAGCTATGTCAGAATATCGTGTCACGGTGGGGATCACTCGAAGTAAAGTACTTTTGGATCTTATGTAGCACCTTTCCAAAGACTGCGAAAAACAGAAAGGAGTCAAGGAAAGAAAAAGGAAAAGAGAAGGAACAATTCAGAAAGAACAAACAGGGGAAAACAAAACAGGCAGACAAAGAGGAGGAAACAGAAAAATGAAGGAAACACAGAAAAAAAACGCAAGGGAAGGAAGAAGGAAGGAACAGCAAAACATGATTCAGTGTTGACATTTTTTTTATTCGAAGACCTTTTCACTCTCACCCCATGAAATTCCATGAATGGGGAAGTAAGGCGGCACTTTGAATGGACCATGAGTTCCCACACTGAAACTAAAGGAAATCAAAACACCAAAGCGTTTTCACTCGGCGCTCACCGTTATAAGCGAACGCAGTCCGTTGTTTCTCGCCGAGTATAATTTGTTTCACTGCTCATGTCTTCAACATCAAGCAAAAGTTGAAACAGAGGATCCCAAAGCAGTCATTATCCATGCGCTGCTTCAGCGGGCTCTTTGCGCTTGAAAACGGATTTCACAGCTACAGTGTTTAATTTTGCAAAACGCAACGAACTATTTCCTCCAGTTGCAACTCACCCCAGCATACTCTGACTAGTGACTAGTGGTTTGAGGCGGTTGCAAAACATAGCAAAAAAGGGTAGGTGGGTTTTTGTTTTCCTCATGATTGGAACCGGATATCAACCTGTGAAGAGCTACAACAACTGTACTCAACCGGAGACATTCGCCATGATGTCAATGGCGCATGATTGGCGTCCATGTACATGTTGGGTAAATGCCCAGCTGAAAGCATGGATGCTTCTTGGCCGAGTATTTGGTATGGTTTATTCGTGTTTATTCAGTGGATGTGAACATCTCTTTGTCTCCTCGCCTGCTGTTCTGTGCTTTGAGGCATATCCAGCCTAATGTTCAACTTTTGCTTGTCGCACAGCTGGCACAGCGGCTTGCTGAGCAGCTAGATTGCGAAAGAGGCAACTGCCAGCTTCCAGTCTTTGAGGCCAGCGTGCCTTTGTCAGACTCCCAGCTTCAGAAACTCCTGTGCCAGAGAAGTCAGTTAAAGTCTTGGTGTTTCACATTATAATCATGTTCAGAATTCAACGCCTCGACGAGTGTTTGAAAGAGCGTGGAACTCAGGAAACTGCGAAATTATCAGATAGTTAACATCATGACCTTTCAATCCTTGTTCCAGTCTTCGTTGATTCCGTCTTACCTTTTTGGATCATCTGAGCCCTGACACATTTCTCCTTTTGACTGAATGAAAACAAGTAGTCATGGGCGAGATTGCCAGTGAAAGTGAAATGAATCCGACTCCCCAAAATCCTGGATATTTTGACACCAGCCCCCAACGGCTGATGTCCACACCATTGTTTGAACCTGCTGTATTGCATGCCTTGTCTGTGGGATCCTTCCCACTGAGGACCTTTTTCCAGAGGCTTTCACAGAGAAGGAGTCTGATGCAGACAAGAACAGGCTTTGGCCCGGCGGCTTCAAGATCAAAACTGACTCTTTGTGACCATGTCTCGGTGAGAAAATTACCAGACACCGAATTTCAGTCAACGGCATATTGGAGGACATTCGAAGACCATTTGTGACAGACTTGTGAGTCAAGCAGCTGGATCATGCAGCATAACAACTGCGTCCCTTCTGAACTGCGTTTCTTCCGTGCTCAATGGCTGCTGGGTTGGATACAAAGGTGCCTGAAGAGGGAGATGATTTGGAGGACTTTGAGGAGTCTGACGAGTGTCAGTCACGTCAGTCGTTCGATGACGGAGTTGGCGGAGGTGGCATTGCCCAGGCCAGCAGTGTGAACATTGCAAGAGTCCGTTGTGTGGCGACTGTTCTCAAGTTTTATCTATGGCTGTAGTCACTGTAGTCTTGCATTCCAAATCTAACTTAAATGTGGCTGCGATGCAATGCTTGATCTATCGCCATCAAGCCGCGAGATCAGTCAGTCGCCCGAAATTCCGCGTGTTTCGGTTGTCGTCTCCACGTTACCTGCATCTTTTGCTTGACGGACCCAGGCATCTGCACAGCACTTGTTGCTCACGACCGATTCCAAGAATGATTCAGAGGTGCCGACATTGCGCTGTCCGCCACTTCAGTTTGTTCTGTGGCCAGTTGAGCATATTTGGCTCCGATCTTGGTTTCAAGTGAAAGGCGTTCCCAAATTTAGAGAGAAAATCTAGAAATTGTGGCCAGAATATGAGTGTTGCTGTAGTAGCGTGTAGCAGCAGACTGGAATCAGTCGAATGACACGACAATGCTTTGTTCTGCTTAAGCCATTGACATAGATTTTCAAATCGTGGGCTCGACCTGGGAAACGGCACAGGCACAGGAAAGGTTGCTCATGACTGACTCCGAGGAGAATCTGGAGGCGACGATATTCGGCTGTTAGGCTGTTACGCTCAAGGTTCCATTTGATATTCCCTTCGATACAACATGAGCTGCCTCTATACATCAGTTGCAGTTGAATATAGCGGCGTTGCAGATGTTGTATACACCGGAACATCAGCATTTTATTATATAATAGGTAAAGCCGAGGAAAATCCACCATTTTAAATACGTAAAGCTGTGGAATATCCAGCATTTTAAATAGGTTCTTAATAGTTAAAAAGCGATGGAAAATCCACCAGTTTCAATTGGTAAATCTATGAAAAGCAACTCTTTTTAGGAAGGACATCTATAAACCTATGGGTTTTCACCATTTTTAGGAAGTAAATCAACGAACTCAGTGGGAAAACCACAATCTTTTTATAGGTAATGCAACGAACTTTCGAACTGGGCCTTGACTGAAGCGATTTTTTTGTGGTTCAATGGATTCAACATGAAAAAAATGGATGCTTCAAGCCCGCATTCGCCTTTCTTATGTTTCTAAGTTGTTTATATATGTTTATATTGCCGATCTTATACCACTGATTTTATTGTGAACAACTAAATGTTTGCTTCCTGATAATCTGCCATAGGAGACCCAGCGTCTTCTCCTGGCATTCAAAATCGACATAACCAGACAAGTGTCAAATTGACACACTGTATGTATAGAAAAAGACAGAGTCGTTGCAACTACGTATGTTTGGGACAATGGCTGATGAGACTGTCGATACGCATCTTCACCATCATCCATTTGATTAAGCATAATAATCATGCAGATTGGTGAGAGGAAATGCAAGTTGCATGTAATTGCATTGTATCCTGTCCATCCAAATATTTTTTCTCACATGGTCGTTTCCTCCATGGACTAGGCCCTTTTAGATCTGTTGGTCAACATCTTTGGATGGTGAGGCCTGGGATGAGAGGCAAGTCTTAGAGCAGACCAAGCTCGCGTGGCTTCCCGGTGCCGCAGTTTGTTAAGTTGATTAGTTCGTTGTCGCCTGACCGGCTTATGGTAGATATATCCACAGCTTAGGGGGTTTATAATGCTTTATAGTGGAGTATGTTCGGACGGGCATCGATGGAATGTTCCTTTTTTCACATTTGGGATACATGAAAACTAGGGTTTGGGAGTATATAGTCATATCCACAAAAACTTTGTGAACCTCCAAACTTTTGGACTTTTCTATTTTGCACTCTTGTTTGCTTAGGCATACTGGGAGCTGGTGGCGCGCCTTGAGGCACTTGAGAGCTCTGGTTAAATCCCCACTAATGGCGGTGTTCCATCCGAATCCAGGGAAGCACCGCAAGGGATCTTCCAATCATTTTCCATGTGTCAACCGGAATTATTTGTGCTTGCCATCGGCCTGTGTGCTTTTTTAGAGCAGTGTAGTTCTAGCAGCTAGAGACGTTGTGGTTGGGCAGGACAGCACCCGCAACATCTGGGCCGGGGCGGCGCAGCAGGTCGTGACACCCCAGTTTTCCAGGTTCTGAAATAGATGGTTATTCACCTGTTTGGTTTATTGGGATTGTTCTAGCCCATAGGGATATCGTTTTCAATCAGCATAGGAGAATACCCCCATTCAAATTTTGGATACACGAAAATGATCAAAAATGGCTGCTTAATCTCAAAGATGACGCATACCTATCAATGATGTCTCGTTTTCAAAGCTTGGCATTCATTCTATCAGTCTCCCAAAGATTGCCCCATTGGGCTTTAAACTTTAAGACTCATTGGGTTTCAATAGCGCCCAACAAAAACCAATTTTCCCATGATTTCTGGTGGTAATCCGTAGGAAGGAACCGCCATTTCTAAGCGTTCTCTGTTGGCGAACAGTACCCTTGGCGTTTGGAACACCCCGGGAATCCCATCCCATGACGTGGTAGATATCCCAACCCCCCAATATCGACTGTAGTTTGGGATTTGTTTGTCCAAGATGTCGGGAGATCTATGTGGTTATCACAATTAATATCAAACCACAATTAAATCCACAATAATCTATATGGGAAATCGATATGTCGGAAGATATAAATGGTGGTTGATGA